CACAGGGTCAGTCTCTCCAGAAGACAGGACACTGGCTCCATGATATCTGGAGGGCCTCAAAAGTGCCCTGACGTGGTCAGCATTAACTGTTGTCTTTCCCCTCATCTCCACATCTAACCAACCCCGAGTCCTACTGCTTCCCCGCCCTGACGACCTCCGGAACCCATCCTCTCCCAGCACACTCATTCCTGCAGCCTTGGTCCAGGCCACGGTCATCTCTCACCCCCATTGCTGCACTTGCCCTTGACTGGTATTCTTGACTCTACTTGAACCTTGCCAGTCCAGTCTCCCGTGAACTCAGCCCCGATCATATCACTTCTCAGGCTAATACCCCCCCACGACTTCTAATTGCTCTCAAAATGAAGTCCTAATTCCTTGGCATGACCTAGCAGACCCTTCAGGATCAGCCTCATATTTCACACTGCATGTTCCCCCCATCCGCAAGCCCCGCCCTCACTTCCTAGTGTACGCAGCACTCCAGCCATACTGAACTGCTGAATTGTCCACGATCTCTCACTGCTGGCTTTTGCACACGTTTCTTCTGGCTGGAACACACATCCCATTCTCCCCTTTACCTGACTAACCCTACTCATCCCTTTGGCCTCAGGGTTGATGCTACCAGCACTGGAGAAACATCCCCAATCTTGGCAGAGTCAGATCCTCCTTTTCTGGATTCCCATAAGGTCCCTGTAATGAAATGGCCCCTTTACCCCTCCTCCACTAGTCCATAAGCTCTTTCTGGTCCTGGAACGTGTCTTGCCATCCTCCCCCAGTTCTTAACATGCTGCCCAACACATAAAAGACATTCAATAAATACTGATTCAGTAAGAAGCAACAATCTCACAGCGTTCTTGGTTCACCCAAGATAGACTCTCTAGCCATCCTCACTCTCCATGACACAGACCTTTGGGATTTGATCGATTCAATTACTGAACCATTTCAGGTTTCTTCTCCTTTCCTTTATCTCTTACACAAAGAAGGAAATAAGAGAAACTAATCATTGGAGGTTTTGTATCAAAATTCTTTTTGGGAGAGAAAGGGCTTGAATCATCTGGTATCCAAACAGCTTTCTGTTTTTGGAAGACCGTACTTGTACTTTCCTAGGTGTATTTTGGTCTGTCTGGTCATGAAAAATCTGAAACTATACAATCTCAGTGGCTGTTCCGCAAGGTCTAAAATTGGAGAGGCATTTCAAATGCTCCTGGTCCCATCCTTTATTTCACTATGAATTAGGAAGAAAATATTGAGATGCAGAGGACAGGTTAATAAAAATCCCCATGACCTGGTACCAGGTTCAGTCTTTTGAGACGAGTGCAGATGACCTGTCCACCCGAAAGACCATAAAATAATCCAAGTGAGCACTCCCTTTGCCTTCCGTTCTGCGTGCACTCTGTCCTCTTGCCTATGAACTTCAAGAAGAAAAATAAGAGGATTTTTCCCCCTGCAGTCAATTCTTCTGTTTCTACTCCTTCTCAGTTCCTCCATGCTTATCCCACAAAAGAAAACACCTCTCAGCAAAATCAGTCTTGAGCTTCAGATCTGAAGACTGCAATCTCAGAGTGAGAGTTTATACTCTATATTATAAATCATTAACGATTATCACTTGTATTCTTGTTCCTGTTGCTTTTTGAGGAGAGAAAGCAGGATCTTTCCTTTACTATGGAAGATTTCAGGCGGGTTTTTTTACCCCAATATTATTTTGTGTTTTTAAGCAAAATAGAATGAGGGAGCATATGATTTGTTTCTTTGTGCTTCTGCTGCCGTTTCCTGGGGAAAATTTCTCCTTCCTTCCTTCCTTCCCTCCTTCCTTCCCTCCTTCCTTCCCTCCTTCCTTCCCGCCTTCCCTCCCTCCCTCCTTCCCTCCTTCCTTTAATCCTATATTCACATAATAGAAATTTGGGCTAATAGGGAATAAGATATATCTATTACCCAAAATAAGATAACCCCATTGCATTATGGGGTTATCCTAGCTAACAGCTGCTTATAAAATAAATGCTGATTATTTTTATGCATGTAGAATTTAAACAAGAGAATTATGGTCCCAGCTATATTGACTGCTAAGGTTGATAATTATTAGAGAAAATAATTAATGTCTCTCCTCAGTCCATCCCCATTTATCAGTCTAATAGCTTCCACCCCAAAAGGAGTTGTGTGTCTTATGGGGGGCACTAAATGTACAAATAAGGTGCTTTTATTAAGTCAACACTATTATTTTGTTTTCAAATTATTTCTTATTCCTAGAAATTGATATTCAGTCATTTGAACTCTGTGTAATTAGGAAAGATATTTATCTGAGCTTCAGCTCATTTAAAGTAACCAGGCACCTTTCACCTCCTCATCAATCTTGGACGTCAATTCCCTCCCACCAACGTCCATTCTACCTAGTGTGGGACAAATAGGTTTGTGTGGCTTTATGGCCCCTCCCCTGCTACTGGTCTACCTCACTTGCATTGATCTCCTTGCTTGTCTTTATCATTTTTCCAAGCTTTAGTCCATTCAGAATTTTGGCCTTCTCTAGCACATTCTAATGTTTTGTGCCATTTTTACATCTGCCTTGTATTATTATTTTCCTTCCATCTTCTTCTACCCGTATTTCTTCCCTTGTAACCATACCTTCACAAACCCTAAAAAGCAGAGATTTTTTTCTTCAGTCGTAATCCTGTCTCTTCCGATTTCCCTGTAGTCATAACAAAGCTTTTGCCAAAAGGCCTCGCAGCTAAAACCTTGCGCCAAATAATATACCTTTTTCCCAAAAGCTGCTTTTTGGCAACTGGTAGGAACATTGATTATTCATAGCCACAAAAATCAGGATGCCTGTGGATGACTTGCTGCTTCTCCCCCGAGTTGGGAATATGATTCCACATACGGGGCTTCATTTGGACTTCCACATGAAGAAGAAATCTAGAAAAACATGGACAGAAGCACTAGGCACTCAGAATGTCCTCTATTGCTCTGTATTATTTTCTGATATCTCTATAAGGTTTTGACTTTTAAGTCACAGCCTTTAAAAAATAAAACAAAACAAAATAAAGAACTATCTTTGATTGACCATGCTGAAACCACTTTAAATATGTTCTAAAACTGTGCTTTAAAATTTTCCCCACAACCTTTTTGACCTATGTAAGAGATACAGGTACTTTAAGAAAATGTTTCTGGAAGATTGCATCTGAGACAGTCTGTGAGCTGAAGCCAAGGCTAAGGCATTGCTAAGGGAATCTGTTTCCCTGGGATACTAATTAACTCCAAATATTGCATATAAATTAACCCAGCAGCTACTGAAAAAGCAGCTTATGGGAGAGGAAAAACTAAAGAGGTGTAAAAGAAAAGTACTGTCTTCTGCTTAGAGAAAAAGACATGAGGGGCAGAGGAGGGACCCTTTCTCTCACGGCCATTAGTGTCACCCACATGCGGCTGAATGAAGTGGCCTACTGCATGTTCTCTATAAACAGCTTGTCGAGGATACAAGGACAGCAACACCACATCATGCTCACCTCCTCCCAACCTCAGGAATACCTACAGTCACTCATAGAAAAGGAAAACGTACCTTCTGCAATATCAGGATGTCTCTACTCGTCATATTACAAATTACATATGAGTGCCATGGTTCTGAATTCTGTTTTTAAAACCTGACCTTGGGGCCGGCCCAGTGGCATAGAGGTGAGGTTTGTGCTCTCTGCTTCAGCGGCCCAGGATTCACAGGTTCGGATCCCAGGCATGGATCTACTCATCAAGCCATGCTATGGCGGCATCCCATATACAAAATAAAGAGGAAGACTGGCATTGGATGTTAGCTCATGGCCAATCTTCCTCACCAAAAAAAAACAAAAAAATAATCTGACCTTGAACTTACCTGTCAACTGCTAACTTCTATTTGACTGTTCAGAGCTTTTCAACTCTCTTGATCAATTTCACACATTTCTTTACATCTCTTGGCAAAAAGAACTAAAATTATTTAATGAAAACATTCTTGTAAGCCAGCTATCATTCAAGCACGGATTCTAGAAAGGTTTCTCTATTAGTTCCCTAGCACTTAAATTTATTTGCTTTTAAAGGAAATAGCTGAGGTGGGAAAGGAAAGAACTTGTGTAAGAGAGAAATTAGAAAGACATCATTCATTTAACAAAAACAGAAACTCATATGAAATGTTCCTTAGCCAAGTAGCTATTTCCTCAGAACCTTGGTTTTAAAGAAGGATTCTGAAATGTCACTTCCTCCCAAGTCTGTGGGAAGGGCACTGACCTGAAGACAGGGGTGCATGGTTTTGAGTCCAAGTGGGTTCCAGTCCTGATTCTTCCTGGGTATAACTCTGGATAATCATTTCACTTCTCTGCTTCAGTCCTGTCTTCAGTCAAATGCGAGAATAAAAACATACCCCCTGCCTCATCCAGTAGCCATGAGGAATAACTGTGCAACTCGCCTTGAATATAGTAGAACAGGCTCTAATAAATGTGAAGAAGTTCCCCACAGTCTAAAGCACTACAGACAGTGTTATTAGTAACCTTTATTCTTCCATGGAAATGAGCCAAGTCTTCACTCAAATACTCAACTTACTGAAAGCCCCAAATACCCAGATTCAGAAGATAGGGCAAGGAATTACATTCCAAGGGGAATGAGAAATGATCTTACGTAGTCCAACATCCCCGAAGCAGGATGCCCTGAGAAAGGCTGGTTGTTCCTAAGTTCCATCACGTGCCAGGACTCTGGCCACTGAGCCTGCTTCTACTACAGAATGAATGTTTTTCTAATAAAGTCAAATAAGGACCAATGGCAGCCCACTCATTCCACAGCCAAGACCACAGATGTAGAAAAGCAATGCTCTGAATAATTCAGAATAGTGGCCACACGAGCACAGAGCCAAATGACAGAGATAAATGCTCTTGGAGCTTACCTACCCTCATTTTCTTGATTTCTTCCTTGTTTCTTCTTGACAAAGTCAAGTGGTACACAAAAAGAACATCTCTTAATGATAAACACAGAAGAATCTAACTATAGGTCTGTTGGACTCATTCACACTATTTAAGAAAGCAAGCTTACATTACAACTGAGAGTCAATTAATATATTACTTCTGGTGCACTTCTTTCCTTGCCAAGATTGAGAATAAAACAGAGGTTGAAAAATAATAAAACTGGGAGACTCAAGCACATAATGCAAAATACATACAAACCTACATATAATCCTAATGTGCCAAGAGATCTTCTCGACGAAAAAGATTTCATTCTGAGTTGCTGCTAGTTTTGATGCAAACGCAGGATGTACCACAGCCCATAAGCCTATGGCTTCAACTAGGTAGAGTGCAGTCATCACAAGTTATTCTTTGCTGAGATTTCCATTTCACAGTCAGGCGTGCCTTGGCAACAATAATCGTTATACTTAGTGCAGGAAATTCAAACCAAGGAAAAGACACAATGGAAAAATACAAAACATTTACTCTACCTAACCTAGCAACTCCTACTGAACAACATGTGTTCTGCATATTTATGAGTTGTAGCCCATGGTTGTGGAAAATTCACTACAGAATAAAAACAAACACTGCGTATTACATTTAGTATACAGCATGCCTTTTCTGCTCAGTACAACAAAAATCTACTACCCAGCAGATAATGGGACTGATGGCCTGACAGCAGCAATGTGGCAGGATGCTGTTCTTTTTTTGCCCCCAAATAAAAAATAAAATAATAACATCATTGAATATTCCAATTAAACTCCAGTCCAATTCAAAATTCATCTTCAGAGCTGTCAGCTAAGAGCATTACTCGATCTTGCATGCTGTTGAATTCTCTCTGCTGGAGAAAGAAAATAGAACAGCATTAAACTCCTTCTGCGGCAGAACAAAGCTGAGAAACAGGCCTCCTTTACAAGACACACTAATAAACAGAGCCGAGGCAGCAGCTGTAGCAGCTAATCCAAACCACTGGGCATGTCAATACTGTTCATGCATCATTAAGCCTCGTGTGCTTTATTAAGCAAATTAGAAAAGCAAAGAATGTTCTGAAACTGATTAGGTTTTACTGTTGGTTCCATACCTTTCTTTTATGCCTTTTGAAGCCATTTCTCCTTCGGCGATTCATAACCTTAATGCTGTAGAGCGCTCCCAAGATGAACAAAGCTCCAGCTATCCCAACCCCTACAGGCACCAGCATCCCAGACATGTAGCCAGCCTGCACAGAAAAAGAAACATGCATTAGGATGCTAAACAGACCACCACCCTGGGTTTCTCACTTCTGCTGGATGGCAGCAAGTTTTTTGGGTTTTTTTTTTTGGCGAGGAAGACTGGCCCTGAGCTAACATCCATGCCAATCCTCCTCTTTTTGCTGAGGAAGACTGGCCCTGGGCTAACATCTGTGCCCATCTTCCTCCACCTTATATGGGACATCACCACAGCATGGCTTGACAAGCGGTGTGTCGGTGCGCACCCAGGATCCGAACCCGGGCCACCAGCAGCGGAGCGGGCGCACTTAACCGCTACGCCACGGGGCCGGCCTCTGGCAGCAGGTTTTAGACATTGAATTCTCCTGTCTGCTTTGTTATAAAATAGCACCTAGAATACAGTTACTTTTTAGGGAGAAGGCAACACATAGAGAGGTATGACTATTTTCGGATAATTCAAATACTTAGAAGAAGTATTGAAATAAATCAGCCAGACCTAGTGGCACCTTCAGCCACTTGCTTATGCACATTTGTCAACATTAGGTTCTGGTGACAGAAATATAATTTGTATTAAAGATGGATGGAGTAAGCTTCTGAGAATTCCAGGACTACTTAAATGTGATAAATTGGAAATGTGAGCCTGAGTCAAGTGTCAAGGAAGCTGAAGTGTCCTCTGGAATACCGTGTTCCTTGGAGGGCAAGAGGAGAGCCTTGACACTGGTGGTCCTCTCTCACAATCATAGCTGCGTTACAGTAAGAAAGCAAAGAGGAACGCGCTTGCAAGTGAGTAAAGGGTGAGAGCTTCTGGAAACAACAGAGCAGAGATGGACCTGCAAAGGAAAGAGGAAGGATACTAGATGTTGGAACCCAGGCAGAAAAGACAAAGATGAGGAGAGAGTGTGCACATAAAGTGGATGAATTAATCTATACAAAAGGAATAATCTGCCCAGTGGACAAGACCAAAAGAGCCTGGAGGTATCAACTCACGCACGTCTCCATCATCCCCAAGGTGTCACTATGGCCTCCTCGGTCTGAGAGAGCAGTGTGATCTCCACACACTCCTGGGCTTGTGCAAGTAGCTCGGGACCTCCCCAAGCCCAGGGTCAGGCCATCACACTAAGGCTGCTCCCTGCGTCTTGGCCAATGAGACATCCAAGGGCTGGAGGGGTAGGTACTAACTAGAGCCCTTCATATGGGAATATGACACTGGTTTGCCTTCCAAGAAGGCCCCTTCTAGAAGCCTACCCAGGCAAAATATATAAACAATTAAACATTTTAAAAGCTGTAATAAGTACTTTAGATAGATAGGTATTATTTTTTTTGGCGGGGGGGGGCCATGAGTCTGTTCCTTTATTTGACTAATTCTAAAATTTCTAATATAGTACAAACTGTTTCTAGCATTTTTCAGATGAGCCAAAAACAGAGGACAGAGAATAAAAGTTTTCTAAAAAATGCTGAGGTGTGCAGGCTGTGATGCATTCCCAGCACTTCTAAGAAGTAAATCATAAGGAGCAGACAAGACCTTACAAAACGGCACCCTCTGCTCATACACAGTCGGCTCACTCACTGCTTCTGCTTTCTAAAGTCTTGAGTTAGGGCAGAAGATGGAAATTTTTCCATTAATTTGAGAACAATAGCATTGTTCACCAGCATACTAAGTGCTTTTCCCCAAGAAACAAAGCCCAGTCATTTTTCAACAAATTAATATGCTTTGCAGAAACCCAAACTTTTTCTCAAGTTCTTCCAGATCCATGTAAGGCTTATAAAAGTCTGTAACTTTCCATGTGGGAAAACATTGGACAATAGCAAAGTTTTAGTGCTCTCACCAGAACTGTGAATATCTTTTGTAAATCACCATTCCCCGTGCATGGAAATATACATACACATTGAAATATGATCAACTTTAAGACCACTAGATTGGACTTCACAGAACTGGACATTCAAAGGATGATATTTGAGCTTTTGGAAGCTCAACTTGACCAACTTCCATGGGGGTCTCCTCATGTGATGTAACTTAACCCCACACCAATAACATGAATATTACAAAATACGTTACTCTTTCCATATTTCCTGTTTACACATTTAGACTTCTTGTTTCTAGAGCTTAAATCATGTAGACTTGACAAATGTTCAGTTATCTCTCTCCTCTGTTTTTTGTCCCCTTTTGTGTGTGTGTGTATGTGTGTGTGTCTGTTTGTGCGGCATCTGCCTATGCTTTGAAATTACATGTAAATTACAAGATGGGAAAAAAGCAACCTTTCCTCTTCAAATGTAATTTAACCATTCCTCTTTCAAAACTGACTAATTGAAAAGAAGCTCTTCTTTTAGCATTGCCCATGACTTGTTTCCTGCAGAAATAAAAACAAATAAGATGCATGTACATATTTTTTAAGTTATAAATTCTGCCTAGCACCTTTTCTCTGTTCAAAATATTGGATGTACAGGTGCCTCCACATGTCACACCCTGAGAAGGACACAACTGCTCCTACATATATTCCAACCGAGAATTCATAACTTGAATCTCATTATGAGAAGAAAGCCAATAAACCTATAATGAAGAATACTCTATTTTTTCAAAAAAGAACTATAGACTTAAAAAATGTCAGTGTCATGAAAGACAAAAGAAGGCTATAACAATGTTCCAAATTAAAGGAAACTAAAGAATCACGACAACTAAATGTGTTATATGACCCTAGACTAGATCCTGTATTGGAGGAGAAAAATGCTTTTATAAAAGGCATTTTGAGTTGTTAAAAAACTGAAATATGGATGCCAGATTATATAAAAGTACAGTATCGATGTTAAATGTACTCAAGCTGATAACTGTTCTATGGTTTACTAACAGAATATTCCCATTCAAAGGAAATACACACTGAAGTATTTGGGGCAAACGCATCATGATATGTGCAACTTTCCCTCAAATGGCTCAGAAAAAAGGAGGCAGAGACGGGAAGCCAGCGCAAGCAATGACAACACAAAAGGGGTAAAATGTTAATAATAACCGTATCTGGGGAAAAGGCTGAGGGTATTCTTTGTGCTAGTCTTCTTCTTGTATCTTTTCTGTACATTTCAAATTATGTCCAAATAGTTTAAAAAATTTTAAATACATTGTAAGCCAAAATATTACTAGATATAGTTGGCTTTTGTTTGTGTTTGTTTTGTTTGCTTGTTTGTTGTAAACAAACAAACATAATGATACCTTTATGAGGTATCATTCCTTCTTAGGATAATGTATTTGTTCAGAAACATCTGTTTTCAAGAAAGCTCTAAGAAAACCAAATGAGGGCCAGCCCCATGGCTTAGCGGTTAAGTGCGCGCGCTCCGCTACTGGCGGCCCGGGTTCGGATCCCAGGCGCGCAGCGGCGCACCGCTTCTCCGGCCATGCTGAGGCCGCGTCCCACATACAGCAACTAGAAGGATGTGCAACTATGACATACAACTATCTACTGGGGTTTTGGGGGAAAAAAAAAAAAAGAGGAGGATTAGCAAGGATGTTAGCTCAGGGCTGATATTCCTCACAAAAAAAAAAAAGAAAGAAAGAAAACCAAATGATACCTAAAGTCTGCTGAATTAAGACAATGCCCTTATGATTTCTATGCAATGGCGGTTCTCAAACTTGGGCATGTGACAGAATCACCTGCAAGACTTGTTAAATCACAGATTGTTGGGCTCCATTCCCAGAGTTTCTGACTCAGTAGGTTCGAGTTGGGCCCAAAACTTTGTATTTCTAACAAGCTCCCAGGTGATGCTGATGCTGCTGGTCCAGACTGCACATAAGAATCACTGAAGTATAGTCTAGGTCATCCATTTTCTGGATTACTTCCTAAATCTAGAAGAAATAAAATGATCTTGGTGACATAACAACAGGGCTGGTCTTTATTACACAACTAAAACTGTTATGCATCTTCAGTTTTGAGAAGTAATTTAGATGTTGAAAAGATATATCAATAGATTGCTGAGTTAGGATTTACCTAACAAGCATCACTGACTTGGACATTTAACCAGGAAGAAGATCAGTGATGGGATGAGTGTGGGAACTGTCCCTCAATACCCATCTCCCCTTCTTCTAGAGCAACAGAACGTTCCATCTGGGCTGGGCACAGAATAACGACTACTTCTCCCTGCCTTCCATGCAGCTGGGTGTGATCACGCAATAAGTCTCACTAAGGAGATGACATGTTAGTGGCACATGCAACTTCCAGAACAAGCTCTTTAAGAGGGGAGCAGAGCCTTTACCACCACCACCTCTTTAAGAATGACAGAGTACCTTTATCCTCCCTTTTAAGAGAGGAGGAGTATCTTTAGCCTCCCCTTTTTCTCCTTCCTTCTGGCTGGAATATGGACTTAGTTAAGGCAGAACTGTCACCATGAGGTGACCTTGGGAAGGAAGGTGGAGCATCGAACAGAAGGAGCCTGGGCCCCTGTCACAGCGCTACTCCCCCATTAACCCTTGACTGCCACCTCCAGACTCATAAATGAGTGTCTCTCTTAACTGAGAGAGACAAACTTCTCTCTTGGTTAAGCCACGGTCATTGAGGTTGTCTGTCATTCATAGCTGATCTTAATCCTAACTAATAGAGAAAGACTACACAATAAGAACAAAAGGAATAACTCAGAACTTTTTAGAACATCACCTTTTCCAGAGCCCAGCTAGCTAAAAGAGAAACCAATATCAGGAACAATTAAATGAAGCCAAACTGAGACGATGTCCTAGCTTGGATGAAGAGCCAGGTAAATACGTAGTTCAGTTATCAGTTCTTAGGGATTCTGTGACTTTCATCAAAGAGGCAATAGTTTTGCTCTCAAATAGTTTCTGAAGATAATGACTAAAAAGACTTTAAAGATGATAGCTGGCTAACTAGATGAAGAGAATGAGGGGAGAGAGAGAGGAAGATATGTGTGTGTGTGCGCGCGCACACATATGAATGCACACGTTAAATAAGTGTATAATATTTCAAGACCGGAGGAGCACGCATAAGTCAACCACAGTTGGAGTCTCAACTATTTTTCTTTCAATTTTTTTTAATTAAGACATAACGGAGGGCCGGCCCTGTGGCTTAGCGGTTAAGTGCGCGCGCTCTGCTGCTGGCGGCCCAGGGTTCGGATCCCAGGTACGCACCGACGCACCGCTTCTCCAGCCATGCTGAGGCCGCGTCCCACATACAGCAACTAGAAGGATGTGCAACTATGACATACAACTATCCACTGGGGCTTT